ATTTCACCAAATAGAGTTGTCTGTTTCTGAATCTCAAGAGAATTATTCCAAATTGTGGAGAATACTTACTTGTTAAAGGAAAATCTTAGAGGTGAAGAGGGTGGATATGGCCGAAATTTTAGTTAAGGAACTTCAATAACTGAAAGTTAAGTATTGAAGCAGCTTAAAGGAACTTCAATACTTGTTAAAGGAACTTCAATAACTGAAAGAGGGTGGATATGGCCGAAATTTTAGGTGGAGAATACTTGTTAAAGGAAAATCTTTGTGAATTATTGAAGCAGCTTAAAGGAACTTCAATACTTGTTAAAGGAACTTCAATAACTGAAAGAGGGTGGATATGGCCGAAATTTTAGGTGGCGAATACTTGTTAAAGGAAAATCTTTGTGAATTATTGAAGCAGCTTAAAGGAACTTCAATAACTGAAAGTGAGTTGATTTGGATATGGCCGAAATTTTAGTTAAGCTTGGTGCAAGGAAGTAGCAGGTACATGCAAAAGAGCTTTTTGTCTGCCTTTTGGAAATTTATGTCTCAAAAAGGTCAATATTATGGTCTGATTGGCCTATATAGAGGGATTCGATTTGGCTGAAAGGCTTCCAAAAAGAAGACCTTAGTCTCTATTTTTAAGGACAAGAAAATGTGAACCATTTACCTTTTCATTGATTCTCAAGCAGGAAAATGTGGGAGTCTCTAATTCAAGGCCTCCAGGTTTCTTGGACTCTCAACTTCCTGAAAAAAAAAAAAAAAGAAGACCAACATTATTATGTGCTTTGCGGCGGGGGATCGAATAAGAAAGCTGAAATCCTTTGGATCAACTTGGCCAATATTCATTGGGTGTTTTTGGAAAAAAGATACCCCACTACTTTATAGGGTTTGTGGAAAAAGGAAACCAGAGAATCTTTGATGTAAATAGAGATTTGTGGTAAGAACTATTTGAAATGATTAAACATGACCCAGCTTCTTGGTGTGCCCTTTTTTGGTGTTAATCTGTGTATATATATATTTTTTTTTCAATGCTGGTCTTTGAAATACTTACTGATTTGTTCCTAGTCCATTAGTATCATGATTAGCTTCATAGAAAGTTATATGAACAATGGACTTTGAGTTAATATATATTTGAGTTTGGAGAAATAGATATTTGGGGATCCTGAAGCTGCAGATATGGTATTCACAAGTGGAGCAGACGTGTTAGTTGTGGGGCTAAATGTCACACATCAAGTCGTCATGACAGGTAATCTTATTTCATGTTATATTCTGATGAGTTAAAAGTAAAAAAATTTTAATGCTCTTCTGCATATTTTGCGTCGATTTGAATATAGAAACATTTCAGCCTATATTTTGGTGATAAGCTTGTTTTGTTCTGTAAATAATGTCAATCAGCTTGTAGAGGACGTGAGTAAGGTTAGGTGTGTTTATAAGTCAATATAATCATGTTTATTTCCCCTTCAATTTGGGTATGCTGTGTTTCACAAAACAATTTAAGAGGCGGATCGTGACAAATTGGGAAGATCAGATGGGAAATTTGCCAAGTATCTCTGCAAAATTTTAGATATTTATTTCTCCTACCACAGGTATGCATATGAAACAAAAGGTGAGGCTACTGAATAAAGTAGGGTCCGTCCACAATAAGTCATCAGATTCAGCCGCACATTGTTTGACTTGTTTGCTGCTGCTGCTGCTAATATGCGTGCAGGGGTTTACCTCCATGATCCAGCAACTGTGGTAGCGGCTGTCGATCCCTCACTTTTCACGTACACAGAGGGCGTAGTTCGAGTCCAGACAACGGGCATCTCAAGAGGACTCACAATTTTGTACAACAATAAGAAAAGGTAAATGTATTTGGGTTACCTATTTCCCCAGCTTACCAGTATTTTGTACAACAATCAGGTAATTGTGGTTAATGTGGAACTAACCAGGTTTGGTGAAGTGAGTGAATGGTGTGATAAACCCACCGTGAAGGTGGCGGTCACAGTGGATGCCCCGGCCGTTTTGAAATTGGTGATGGACCGACTTATCGACTCGTAGAGTATATATAAAAGTTGCAATAAGGAATTCCTTCCATAATATGGAGGAATGGAATGTTTTATATCCCAGGTCTATATTTATAGTCCTTCTTCTCTGTGTTGTTTTTCTTCTGTTATGAATGATTTCGCTTGTGATAATGAGAATGGGTTTAGGATCATTTTGTTTGTCGAGAGTAATATCTCTTGGAAGGCCGTCAGAATTGAATTCTTGGCTTAATAGGTTATACACTGCAACTAAGTAGCAACACAACCTTTTCCTTAGAAGAAGAACACGTACACATCAAAGAATGCACATGCGCATAAGCTAAGTATGAGTGTTTCAAAACAAAATGGTGTATGTATTTTCGAGAAATGAGTTTAAGATGGAAAAAACTTTGGCCCTCCCTATTCTTCTTGTTGGGATGAGCAAAGTTGAACGAAAACTGGAAGCCTCTTTTTGGCTCTCTCAGTGGTGGAACCATAAAGAACCTCAAGGATGTATTGGTCTACATCTCCCCTTGTGGACTTTGTTTCGGGGACAATAGCTTCAATGCTATCATCTTCAGGTGACCAATCAGTGTTCAGGTTGTGTATTGAATTTATTGAATGACCTCTTCTGCTAAGTTCAGTTTTGAAGGTGGTATCGAATGAGTTCGATTGCGTTGTTGTAGCTATTCCTGTTAGTGAATGATTGTTGCGGGACTTGAGACCGTGCGTCAAGTATGGTTCACCAAACTGTAGTAGCAAAGAAATATGCTAAATCTAACATTTTTTTTTATTCCAACAAATTTTGCACTATATTTAATCATCACAGGTCGATCGTACCTTACCTTAGGTTTGGTTTTAAGAGGTAAATGAACAGGCCGAAGCTCCTCCTTTCCATGTGCAAACTGCAAATAGCACATACAAATTACAAAACCCAACTCCATTTATTACAGATCAATGTTTTTCCCAAAAATTTAACGCGTCTGATTGAGAAAATTGTTTGAAGAAAAGTATGCATACTCCGCATATAAATTGAAGTTATACAGATCGTACCATTACAGTGGGGACAAGATAACTAACCTGGCATTTGTGGCCGAAGCGGCAGCTTCCAGAATCCTCCCAGGAGCGGCAAATGTCCGCTCTGTATTGATTTTTGCTTAACGATGAACCACCGCCGCCTCCGGACTCTAAGGCAGACTTCAATGTCTTCGCTCCTCCATGGACCGAACTGATCAAAATTTCATCCATTACTATCACTTCCTCATGGACCTTCAATGGGGTCCCATAAATTTGTGGAGACCTTACAGGTGTCGTTTCCAAATTCTCTATAGCCGAAAGTGGCGACAAAGACGATCCTCCTCTCCGAGAACCGAAGCTACTGCTTCCGGAAGTGCTGCTAGCGAAGTGGTTGATAATAGAGGAGCGGTAGTTGGCATTGATGACGTCCGCAACCGGAGTAGAAAATGTGTCGCCGACGGATGGTAATTTTCCTACCACAGGAGATCGAGAGCGGAAGTAACTTACGATCGGTGTTGAACGGTCATGCTTCTCGGCGTAACGATCAAGAATTGTTGGAATTTTGGAGTTTGTTTCTTGGTGATAGTGTCCGGTCCCGCCGATTACGAGGTGATTGTCCATCTGAATTTTGATCGGCCGAACCGTAGCGTTTAGGCCTTTGATAGTTGACGCTTTGGAGCTCCTCTTGCCCTGGCGATCTTCCATGAGTCAGGAAAAGAACCTGAAATTTCTGATGAAAATTGATAAACTAATCAAAGGCGATTTTATGCACAGAGAAAAGAAGATCTATCGGCATTTTGAAGTGTTCATTGGCGACGTAGAATTAATGTCCAGGCTCATGTCCCTAATATTTCGAAACAGAGATTTGTTCAATCCTGATGCAGTACTCTCCAAGGAATCGGTGAATTAAACTTACAGAAATAGCGGATGATAAGAGTCAGATGCTAAAACAGAGAACAGAGAAGATCTAACCAGTCATTTCTAGAGAAAATAATTCATTCAAAGTGATAGGATCAAACATGTTAGGGCTCCATTCAAAACGCAAATTAAGATGCACACATTGTGAACAAGTGGTCAATTGAAAGGAAAGTGCAGATCGGTGCAGAGTCCAAAGTGGAAAACGTGAAGGCTCAACTTCAATTGGAACTCACACCGGCAGAATAGAAAATATCGTGAAGATTGATTTGAAATTGTTGGAGATGGAACAGAACGCAGCCGGAAGAGTGTGGTTTGAGTGCAAGGAAATGAGTAGAAGACGTACCTGGAAAATGAAAATTCGGAGTTGGAATGATTCAGAGATTAGAATCCGCAGGTGAGAGGGTTGGATTGCGAGAGAGAGATTAGCGTCAACATTTGTTGTTTGGCGTCGTGTAGGGCAAGAGGACGGAAAATGACGATGGATGCGGAGCTTAAGAGTGGAGTAGGAGCAACATTAGCAAGAAGCAGAATTCAAAACAACATTGCACTACAAATAAATTTTTAAAAATGTGTATATATACCCAACGCTACAAGGACTATGGACTTGCCACGTGGATGCATGTTTTTCTCTTCCCATTTTCTCTTTAATATATATATATATATATATATATATATATATATATATATATATATATATGAAATGGTTAATTATTTTAGAAATTACAACAATAAGCCACTCTGATAATATATTAATATATGAAATGGTTAATTCTTTTAACGGAATCCGTATTCATGCACATTCTTCAATCTTCCTCGCGATATTGGTTGGTCAAACAAACAAAACTCTTTTCAAAGATGAGAAAATTTCATTTTAAAAAAATAATTTTTTCTCTTCATATTTTATAAGCTTCCACAAATAAAGAAAATCTAATTAATTTAAAAGTTAAAATTACATAAATTAGGATCGAGCTTGGTGTAATCGACACTATCCATACCCTATAGTCGAGAGAGATTATAAATTGAGATCGTATTTAATACTTTAAATATGAGAGATAAAAAAATATGAAAAATGCAAAGTTTTGAGCCGTGAAAAAAAAACACAGAGTATACTTTCTTTTTGGGGATTTATTAATTTTTTAAATTTGTAGTTATGTAATTATATTTTTTTGTGCAAAATGAGCTTAGGTACTAGAACTAAAATTCTCGCTAATAGCGTGTCAATATCTCACTAATGTTAGACTATTTTCTTTTATTGTTATCGAACTAGCATGGAACTCTAATGACATAAAGTTAATTAACTAAACTCTTTAATTAATTAATTTTCATTCATTAATTTTATAGGTCATTCCATTATGGATTTATAGTTGAACTCCTATGCATTGTATGACAAGTTGTGTTAATGAGTATAAACATTATACGCAAGTGGCTTGTCTTATGAGTTGTTCGTAATTATAGCTGGGTCACAAGTTTGTTTTATCCCTAGAATTACATCTTTCACCTTGAGTACGACTCATTCTCTAATAAACAATTTGTTTATGATCCAATTATAAGCTAAGTCATTCCTGGATAAGTTAGAGGACAAGACCCCATTATTCAAGTAAAAAAATCAACACTTATAATTACTCAACTAGTTACCCTCTACCGGAATGAGTTAATTTCATCTTGTGAAATTATGTTTACAACTCTCTATTTTGTCAAGTTTCTAACACAATAATTATATTAAATTGGCTACAAAAGTCATTCAGACTCTACAGACAAGAATTCATAACTCACTCAAATTTAAAATTGAGTCTCGTCATCTTGTGATATATTAATCTTCTTATCCTTCTATGATAACTCACTAAAGTCATTCGCACTCTTTGGGGGGTTTCCTCGACCGCTGTAGTGGAGGAAGCGGTGGTGCTCGAATCATAGCCGATTTACCTTAGGTGAACAACAACACCATTGCTGCCAATAATAACCCCACCGACAACACCGCGCGGTGGCCGAACTATGTCGTTTGACGCACTCACTCCGTCGTGCCTTACGAACATGGACTGCAGGCAGGGGGTTTTGGGTCTGAATACCCGAGGGTTTCGAGCACAACGTTGGGAGGAGCAGAGACAAAGAGTACGAGAGTAGATCTGGAAGTCACAACATGGATGACGGCTCCAACAAGGACCAGAACGACGCCGACAAACCTCCGATGAAGAAGAAGGAAAGGAGGAGAAGGAAGATTCTCGAGAAAACAAAAGAGAAAGTAGGATATGAGGAGGAGGAGAAGAAGATTCTCCAGAAAACAAAGGTCAATTTTGTTTTTTTACTTTTCCTCTTTTTATGGCGTTTAACCTCTTGGACTCCATTTTTCGAGCCATTTTCACTAATTTTATTCTCTGGACTTAATTTATGACATATTTGAGGAGTTGATGGAATTTGGGATGTTTTAGAAGACTCGAACCCGAGCGAAAAGTGTCACGCATCTCCAAGTAAGTGGCACCTCAGAACTCTGGATTTAGCTATGCTCATAGTATGTATGAAAGTAGGATATGAGAAGTATGTCATAGAAACTTGAGCATGAAATGAGTTGGTTTGATGTATGTAAGAGCACATTAAATGTTAGGATGCATGTTTATCGATGAATGAACTGTTGAGCTATGATGTGATCGAAATTGAGAACATTTCTTTATTATGATATAAAGCATGTTATAGGAAAGTGTTATACAAGTTTGAGTATAGAACGAGTTGAGATGACACTGGTCGAATGTCATTATGTATGTTTACTAAAATGCGTACGTAAGAGTTAAAGAAATGAATTTACGACTAGGTATCTATGTTTAGATCGTTATGCTATGTCACTATTTCATATGTTATTTATGCGGTTATACCGGGATGATTATGGTTCGCCAAGTAGCCCCTAATTGTGAACCTGGCTCGATTGTCAGGGGTTTGGATAACCGTAAAACTGACTTATGATATTTTATGATTTATGATTGTACCCTGTGGGGACTATCGTGAAGTTTGCCAGTTAGCTTCCTGTAGTGAGCTTGTCACGAGCGGCAAGGGTCCACAGCTGTACCTTATGAGATGGTTATGAATATTGTTCATGCATGTAATTTATGTGGTTATACGGGGACGGTAGGGGT